ATGATTGAGGCGAATTACATTTATTGTGCAAACTTCTCTGCTAATGATAATCTGTATTTGCAGCCACTCCCCAGCACTAGCATCACTGTCTCAGCGCCGCCTCAGATCATCAGGCATTAGATGCTCATAAGGAGAGGGCAACCTAGATCCCTCGCTTGCACAGTTTACAGTAGGGTTAACGCTCCTACGAGAATCTAATGCCCCCACTGATCTGACAGTAGGTGGAGCTTATGCGGTGATGTGAGCATAGGGAGCAAGCTGTAAATACAGATGAAGCTTGCCCTGCTGGCCCATCACTCACCTCCTGCTGTGCATCCCTGTTCCTAACAGGCCATAGACAGGTATTGGACTGCAGCCCTACAGACACAATCGAAGATATTGGTGATCACATTTGCCATAATGATGATGTTGATGATAATTTCTTGCAATGAAAACAAAGGAAACTGCTAAATCTCTTAACCCACCAGAATACTTGGAAGACAATAAAGTTCTTTATGGTTTTTTGATATTTCCTGAATAAGACTCTATTGTTTGAAGAGTTTAGCAAAGGTTATAAAATTTAATTAACTCCGTGAGAATGAAGCATACTTGAGAAGATTTTATTTTCCCTTCATAATTGCAATTGATATGATAAAATTGTCCTCAAGCGATCATTCCTGTCACATTAGCATAAACAGTTAGTTGGAAGTCTCAAATGATATATTCTCCCCTTATTTTACATTTCTTGACTGTTAAGGTTAATAGAAAGGGCCTGCATTCGTTAAAATAAAATTGTGCTAAAAATGTAATCTGACCCAATTTGTAAAAGAAGCTCTTGTCTGGTATAAATGGTAATTCCAGTTGTAGGCAGCAGAGGTAGTTGTTTTCACAGAAAACATGAGATACTAATTACTCATATTTGAGTTTCTCTCCTAATTTTCATTTCAAATATTAAAATCTTATAAATTATTAATCTTTTGTATTATAATTCCTTCTCTCTCTCTCCTTTAGCTCTTTCTTTAGCAAGTTATGTTTTCCTATACTGGCCAACACTACTAATAAGTTTTTGCTTACTCAGTTTTTAATTCTCTCATTGGGTCTTCAATTACTATGGCAAGCATAAATATCCCAGAGTGGACACTGTTATAATTATGCCATTTTATAAAATGATTGTTTCTTATTGCTCCTGTAAGAAAATTTTAAATTCAATTTAACAAATATTGAACAATCATGATGCGTAAAGAGTACATGGCAAGTAGTATGGGAAAAAGAAAGATAAATAATTATCTACCCCAATATAAGAGGTTTAAACCAAGAGTCTGAGGATAATGAATGCAAAACATTCACCTCTGAAAATGATTTAATTCCAAATCTTTTCATATGAATATCTTAGTGCCATGGTGTCCTGAGATGAGACTCTAGTGCCACTGTTAAAAAGGACAAGCACCAAATCCATGTTGACCTATTTGGTCCCTTATCTTTCTCTCACTAATGTGGCTGCCAGAGGGATTAGTGCTGTTTACTGCATAATCAGTGAGACTCTGAGTGAGTTGCTGAGCTACTCTCACTCTTAATATCTCCTACAGTAAAATGAAAATAATCACATGAACTTTAGAGGATTAGAATTATAGTGGTGACCCAGTGAGATGCAGAATGTGAAAGTATGTCTGCAGTGCCCAGCACTTAGAGGTGTTCAATAAATATTAGTTCTTTTTTTGCTTTCTGGGTGTCTCCTAACAGCCTGTCTACTCAACGGGATTATCTAGACATTCGAGGAATATCTAGACTTCACGAGGGGGTATGGCACAGATAAATGACAATACCAGGCTGATGCCAGTGATAATTCTAGCTGCTACTTTCCTGACTTCAAAGCTTGTCTGCTGGATAATTTTTCACATTGAATTTGTGTCCATTTCCCCTGCTCCCTCACTCCTCAGCCCCTACTGGCACTCTGATAATCACAACACCTCAAGGCTCATTTCCCACTGAGTACCCTGCTTCCATAAAGTTCAGCTATTTAAAAAAAGTTAGAGATATAACACAGCAAAGCACACAATGTTGGTAAAGGATTAATTTAAGTGATACCCTGAGAACAAAGGTGGGAATAATGATAATAGCTATTTAACATATTTTATTTTTCTGATATGTGAAAAATTGGGCAAGCCAGGCACATTGGCTCATGCCTATAATCCTAACACTTTGGGAGGCCAAGGCAGGAGGATTGCTTGAGGCTAGGAGTTGGAGACCAGCCTGAGCAACATAGCGAGAACCCATCTCTACAAAAAATAGAAAAATTAGCTGGGCATGGTGGCATGCACCTGTAGTCCCATCTAGTCAATAGGCTGAGGCAGGAGGATCCCTATAGCCCAGGCATTTGAGGCTGCAGTGAGCTATGATGATACATACCACTGTACTCTACCTCGGGCAACAGAGTGAGACCCTGTCTCAAAAACGAAAAGAAAATGGGGCAAGATTTTGAAGAGAGAATGGATAATTTCAATCACTTATGGTAACAATCATTTTAGACACTGCTATAGAGTCAAGAGTTGGTGTTGGTACCCTATTAAACTAAGATGTTTGTTTTTATCATGTTCACAATGAACTGTAACATTTTTACTGCACTGGAGTAGATAGGAGTACATACCATCTTCATATGCTTGAAGCTCTAGGGCAAATGGCTAAGAATAGTCTATTGATTGTTTTTACCCTCTTTAAATTGAGGGAACAAATAAATAATTCAGCCAAAAACCAATGTCTGTCACACTGATCATACACTCAGTTAAAAATTAATATAGAAAACTCTATATTGGAGAAAGCCTTTGTTTTACCTTGATTAAAGTAAAAGAATTCTACAAAAATTGGGGTAGCAAGTGCTAATGTAACTATAACATTGTGGGAATATGTTTACCAAAACCATACTTTCCTGGACCATTTTTACTTAGTGAACTTTTTTGTCCAACAGAATAACATTTTATAATGCAAATATATGGCCTGATTTTACTTTTGCTGTTGCACTCAAGAGAACACAATTAAACCTGACAATTACTAGCATTCAACAATACTAAACTAGCTAAATAGCTGAAGTGCTATTGATTATTCATGAAAATGTAATTCTGATGATAATTTAACATTATTTAATAAAGGCCTTAATTTCCTATCTAAAAATTATTATTTCCAATTAGAAAGTCTTAACTGCAAATAATTTTGTATTTTGTTAGTGTAGTAGCAAAAAATTACTTTGAAAATTCTGGAGGCAAAAATTGAGTAACTCTCTGAGCCCAGCAAGTCATAATATTTCAATGTAATGTAATGAGTAGAGTCAATCAGTAATGCAGAATCATTGTCGACTGTTTTTCCTCTTCTCCCTGGTACCATCACAAAGCACAAAGATTGGAATATTGAGCATTTCAGGAAAGAGCCAAGGTAATTTAAATTTTTATTGCTACATTTAGTTGTTGGCTTTAAACAAGCTGAAAAAGAACTCTTAGAAAAAGTAATTTACTAAATCATGGTACCAATCAAATCATGAACAACCAAATTATAATGTTTGGCTTTTCTTGGGTTCCTTATGTTGCTAAGACATTAGACTAGTCTGACTAACAAACAATATTTTGCAGAAAAGGAGTTCAGAATGCTCTATTGTCAAGGCTGAGGACAGGGTTACAGAGATTAACACTGTCTTCTTATTTTGTAACTAAGAAGATTTTGCTACGCTTCTTGCCTTAATTGCCCTTGGGATGATTAACATTAGTTCCAAGCTCCCAGTACACAGGCTAATCAATTTGGTGAGGCTCCAGTAAATTTGCTAGGCAGCTTAGATCAATGGCCATCAAAGATTCTATGATTCCTTAAAGGAGCCATCAGTGAAACAATATGTTGATCATCAGGGTAAAATACACACACACACACAGAAAATTCCTTAGGAGAAAGAGCCATGCCTTATTCATACTCACAGGGTTATTGTAAAGATTAAATGCATCGATGCATGCAAAGAACTTAGAATAGTGCTTGACACAGGGTAATCACACAGTAAATATTTAGCTATTGCTATTATTGTTTATATTCACTGTGCTCAATACAGTAACTGTTATATAGCAGAACACCAATATACTTTAAATGATTTTAAAATGAGTATAGATTTTTTATTTTTTCTGATTTGTTAGATGCTCATTGACGAAAATTCAAATTTAAGATTTCAACTGAAAAAGAAAGGTTATGCTATGTTTAAAAAATTTGAAAACATTGCTGCAGAGGATGGAAAGTCAGTGAAGACTTTTTAAAAAACGGATAATAAGGCCGGGCATGGTGGCTCATGCCTGTAATCCTAGCACTCTGAGAGGCCGAGGCGGGCGGATTGCTTGAGGTCAGAAGTTCGAAACCAGCCTGAGCAAGAGTGAAACCCCATCTCTACTATAAATAGAAAGAAATTAATTGGCCAACTAATATATATAGAAAAAATTAGACAGGCATGGTGGTGCATGCCTGTAGTCCCAGCTACTCGGGAGGCTGAGGCAGGAGGATTGCTTGAGCCCAGGAGTTTGAGGTTGCTATGAGCTAGGCTGATGCCATGGCACTCACTCTAGCCTGGGCAACAAAGCGAGACTCTGTCTCAAAAAAAAAAAAAAGAATAATATGATCAAATTTCATTTTGTTTATTTATTTATTTTTTTGAGACAGAGTCTCACTCTATTGCCTGGGTTAGAGTGCTGTGGTGTCAGCCTAGCTCATAGCAACCTCCAACTCCTGGGCTCAAGCAATCCTCCTGCCTCAGCCTCTGGAGTAGCTGGGACTACAGGCATGCACCACCACACTCGGCTAATTTTTTCTATATATGTTTAGTTGGCCAATTAATTTCTTTCTATTTTTAGTAGAGATGGGGTCTCACTCTTGCTCAGCCTGATTTCAAACTCCTGACCTTGAGCAATCCGCCTGCCTCAGCCTCCCAAAGTGCTAGGATTACAGGCATGAGCCACCACGGCCTGGCCTCAGATTTCATTTTAAAAAGATATTTCAAATTGTAGGTGCTTTGGAAGAGTTTGGCTTGAAGCAGAGAAACCAGGAAGAAGAATCCAATGTCCAGATAAGAGAAAATAAGATCCTAAATTAAGGCCATGATAATAGGGATAAAGAAGATACCATACTAGAAACATATGTAGGATATGGAAGTTACAGGATTTAATGACCAATTCAATGGAGAGAATGAAGAAGTCACAAAGGATAAATCACCTGTTTCTGACTTGGGAAACAAAGTAGAGAGTGATCCTTAACCAAGATAGGTTATCCATGAAGAAGAGCAAGGTTGGTGAGAGAAATAGTTCAATCTTATTCATGTTAAGTGAAGCACCAGTGGGACATTCAGGTAAAATGGCCCTGAGACAGGAGGATTTAATAATCTGAAGATTAGGACTGAAGTCTCAGATGGGGATGGAAATGATGATTTGGGAATCATTGGCAAAACATTGAGGCCATAGACATTTATGAAATCAACCAAGAAGGAGGAAAGTGTAAAAATAGAAGAGGCCTAAGGAGTAGACAGAATAAAGCTAGGAAAGGAACTGTACAATAAAAAAAAAAAGTGCTGGGAGCGGTGTAGTGGCTCATGCCTGAAATCCTAGCACTTTAAGAGGCTAAGGCAAGAGGATTATTTGAGGCCAGGAGTTTTAAGACCAGCCTGAGCAACATAGTGAGACCACATCTCTACAAAAACTAGAGAAAATTATCCAAGCATGGTGGCACACACCTGTAGCACCTGTGGCGCCTCCCAGCTACTAAGGAGGCTGAGGCAGAAGGATCGCTTAAGCCCAGGAGTTTGAGGTTGCAGGGAGTTGTGATGACACTACTAAATTCTAGCCTGGGTAACTGGAGACTGTCTCAACAACAACAAAAAACTGTTGGGGAGGAGAGCAGGAGAACAAGGGGAATAAGACCAAGAGAGTCAAAAGAGGAGAGTTTCAAGATGAAAGGAGAAGTCAATAGTAACAGATACTATAGAAGCCAATAAACCGTGAAATCAGGGTCAAAATTACCCACTGGGCACACAGTAGGAGCTTAATAGTATTAATATTTGATAAATTAGATACATAAGTTACTACACACAAAGCAGACCATTGCTGATCTTGCCTCCAATCTACCCTCTCATCTACCATTAAACATTTTTTCCAAATTTTTTGCTCCCTTGAAAATGAAAAATACATTGATTTAGTCACTTTCTCCAGAATACATTGGGACTTCTTAAACCCTCATGCTTTATCTTGTGCCATTCATCCTGGCTAAAATACAAGTGAACTATTTCTCTGCTTACACCAACCCTACTGATCCCTCACGCCTAGATCAAATCCCAACTCCCTCATTGAATCTTCCATGATTTTCCCAAACATAAGTGATCTCACCTCTGTAAAACTCCTAAAAGGCCACTTTTATCTATATCACCAATTTATCAAATTAGTTAATTAATGAGCTTCACACATTGTTGGCACTCAATAATATTTAACACAGAGGGAAATTATGAGATGTTGCCTTGTTATCCAGGAATTTATTGTCCAGATGGGAGGCAAGATACAGACACCTATAAATTTAAATTATAGTACAGAATAAAAATTTTGTTCAAGGAACAAGAGAAAAATAGAATATTATAATTAGAATTATAACACCTATGAGCCAGAATTGTGAAAATCAAATGAAATAATTACATAGCTATTAAGAATACATGCCAGTTATCTTAAAGGTAACTATTGAATTTTGGAATTGAGAGGTCATTGCTCTAAAAAAGGCAGCGTAGTGAGAGGAGTCTAGCTCTACCAAATATTAAAACATATTTTATAGTTATAATAACCAAAATGGTATAGTTCTAGAATATGGAAAGAAAAAAAAATCAATGAAACAAACGAGAAAATCTGGAAATAGACCCAAATATATATAGAAACAAAGAGTATCATCCTTAGATTTGGGCAAAATAGTTCACATTCTGGTCTTCATCTGGTTGTACTACTTCCTGTAGGACAAGGGAACATGCCCACTTGGAACCTGTCACCTCCCTTCTAAACCATTTTTGTTACCCAAGCCTTCATTGGCATCACCTGACTAAATGGCCCCAAGACCACTTCAGGGCCTATGTTAGCCTTTCCTGTGTGCCTGTCCTCCTGAGAACAGGAGGACATGCACCTTTATTGTACGACATGCATGACATGCGTGACATCTTTATTGCACCATAAACACTTTGATCTACTTTGAAACTTCATCATTTTTCCTCTTTGACACACTTTCTTTACTTGACTTCTGGCTCACGCGTCTCTCTTGGTTTTTCACCTAACCTACTCACCTGATGGATCTCCTTTGCTAGTTCCTCCTAACACTCCCAATCTCTGAATGTTAAATACTTCAAAGCTCAGTCTCCAGTCCCCTTCTGTCACTGCAGTCCATTACTAAATGATCTCATTCCATATGTTGTAAACAACATCTATATACTGGCAGCTTTCAAATTTACATTTCTAGCCCTGACTTTTCCCTTGAAATCCACCCTTGTATATCCAACTACCTACTTGACATCTCCACTTAAATATCTAATAGGCATCTCAAACTTATGCCCAAACATGTACCAAACTAAACTCTTCATTATCTACCACTTCAACCAACTTTTCCCACAGACCTCCCCCATTTCAACAAATAACAAACTCTGTTCTTGCTCAGGCCAAAAAACTAGAGTCATCCTTGTCTCCTCTTTCTTTCATGTTTCATGTCCAGTCCATAAGCAGATCTAGTAGGCAGCTCTCCTTAGAAAGTATGGCTTGGAATTTGATCACTCCTCACCCCCTACCAGTACTCCTCCAATACAATTCACCACCCTCTCTCATTTGGGTTATTCATCTGGATCAGGGGCTAGCAAATGTTGTCTCTAAAGGGCCAGATAGAAAATAATTTAGGCTTTGTGAGCCATGGAGTCCCTGCTGCAACTACTCAACTGTTGTTGCAAGCCTAAAGCAGCCATAGACAGTACTTAAACAAATAGGTGTGGCTGTGTTCCAGTAAAACTTCATTTACAAAAACAGCCCCCTAAGTGGTCTCCCTGTTTCCATTCTTCCTCCTAAAATTGAGACATAGGTGAAGGTACGGCTTTGACTAGGAGGGAAAAAGGAAGGATGAGTAAAAATATAGATAACTTTGTCATTGTGAGCAGAAAATGGAGATTATTCACAGCTGTATTTTCTTGGTTAAATAGTACAAGGATCAGCTGTTGAGCATGAAGGGGCTAGAGTTGGGTGGAGTTATGAATACAATGATCTCAAGTCCTGTGGTATTTCTTCTGTACCCTATCCTGCAAAGATGTTTATTGGATGCTCCAGACACTTCCATTCAATTCCTCTTTTTTATAGGCCTTTGAGAATGCTGTTCCTTCTCCCGGGAACACACCCCACATACACACACACATCCTGCCTCCTGGGTATTGCCTGTTTATCTTCTCAAACTCAGCTTAGGTAGCAAGGATTCCAAGACTTCTCTAATTATCCTCTTGCTTGGTTTATATTCAGAAACGCTCCTTTGAGCTCCCATAGTACCTGCCACAGAGTCTTTAGCCCTGTTCATCCTGAAGTCCTTGTGTGATTTATAAGTCTATAGAAGGATCAAAGCAGTAAAACCCTCTCCTATGAAAGGGGATAGAGTTTTCTTGAGGGAGAGGCAAGTGGTACTGGATTGAGAGGCTTGGAAAAGCAGCTATGTTGAAGCAGAGCTCCCCATAGTTAAAGCAGAAGGAAAAAGAGTGAGTCCATGGAGCCAGTTCCATGTAGACATCCAAGAAGACCAGGGAAGATTGTATTAGTTGGGGTCCCGAGAGGAAGGAGCTTGTACTCTCAAACTAAGATAACATAATTCAAAGAGGATTTATTTGTAAGAAAGAGATTGGGTTATAGGGTAAACCACAAGTAAAGTGCAAGAACCTGAATCCTGAAAAGATGAGAGGCGGGAGAGATGACTACCTTAAAGAAGAGAGATGCACAGAGACGTACTATGAACAGTGACATACAATCAGTCAAGTGAAACAGCCCAAAACAAACTCTTAGAGCAGGGCCAGGGGAGTAAATACCTTGACTTCACTTTCCTCTCTTCATCCTTCTCCTGATGGAACCTCGTTGGCAAACACCACAGGAAGCCAGAGGGCCTGTGAGTCCAGTGGTAGAGTCCATACAGATTATCTTCCTTAGGCAGAGGGCAGGGTGAAGAGAATGGATCTGGAGAGGCAAAGGGAAGCTGTCCCATACAAAAGGCAATGCTAGAAAAAAATCAAAGTTATGTTTGTAAGACCTACCTTTCTAATTGCCCCAGAGGCTAGCAGATTAGCAGAGGCAATTCTTTCAGAGAAGGGAAAAGGAGGAGACAATGAAAACCTGGCTTACAAATAAATTAATGATCATTCAAATTAATTAATGCTTTATTCTACATGATAGAGAAGCAGTTAGGGTCCTGTTGCGTGTTGAGTTCATCAGTAAGCAGACTCTGAGATAAAGTTTCATGCTTATTACAGGGTGCCTTATGATCCGCCCCTATGGAAGGCAGGGGAAGAAAGCATGATTAGGCACAGGGAGAAGTTTAGTTACATTGCAGGACCAATGACAGACTCAGCCAGACAGACTCCGACTCCTGCATCAGGAACTTTGGAGGAAAAATAACCTGTAAAAGTTGTCCTCCATGGGGCTGAAATGGCCAAATAGCGATACTCCCACCTTAATCAGTCATTGGATAGGGTCCTCCCTGGGAAGGGCATGACCTTGGGCATGGTAGCTCTCTGCAGCTGAGGCAACCTGTCAAATGACTGACTGCCAAGGCTTTTTGCTGACTGTACCCCCAGGAGCAGGGGCAGCAAGCCATTCCTTGAAGGGGGACCTGGGTGGCACACCTCTGGGCCTACCTCAAATCCCTAAGCCTGGAACCTATTTTATGTGTGATAAGAGGCCCTGTAAATATGGGCAGAGAATTCTAACAATCTGTGTGTGCAGACAAACCAGAGTTCCCTCAGAAGAGCCACCTGGGAAGTGACAGTCTGAAAAGCAGAGCTTAGAGGACAGTTAAAGAAGCAGGTATATTTACACTGAAGGAGATAAGACATTGGGCAATGTAATTTTGTGTATCTTTAAATATTTTAAAGAACTTCCAGATAGAAAAGGGATTAGGCCTTTTCTGTATGGCTACAGTAGGGAGAATCAGGACAAGTGAATGAGAATTTGAGAGAGAAAAAGATGAGATAGATTCAGAGCTTTCTAATCATTATAGCAGAAATGGCTTATCTTAACAAAGAATGAATGACCTGGCACTCATGAATGCCCTGGGCTGGGAATGGGGTTAGGAGGAGGGAGAAATCAAATGGAGACAATTTGGAGCATTGGAAGGACAGTTAGACTATATAATGTCTGAGTCTACCCTACTTTGGGGAATATAAGATTAATTCTTACCTTAATAAAAATAACCATGATAGCTATCATAGTCTCAGAAGAAAAAATTAAATCTGGCTTATGATAAGTTAAATCCAATGAAAATACAAAAATTTTTGGCATTGCTTTAACATTCACTTTTTCTCTGTCCCCTTTCATTTTCAGAAATGAATTTGTATGAAGCAAATCTATAAAGGAGAGCAGTAGAGGTGAAAATATCATGGAAAAGGCAAGCAGTTTGACTAGTAAACTCAGCGAGTTGAGACAAGTGTGAAAACTTATTACAACCTGAATTTCTCACACATCTCAGTTTCTCCTCCCTTTTAAGTTTCCTAATATAAAAAGTTGAATTCACATTATTGGCACCCTCACTACTTGCACTCACTTCCATCAAAAGAATAAATAAATTAGAGATACCTCCTTTTCCACACTTTAATCTAAAATGTTGTGATCCTAAGTTTTTATGTTGATTCTCAAAAGACCAAATCTTTTTTATTTATTTATTTAGTTAGCCCAATATTTGGAAGAAAAAAAGACCAAATCTTCAAAAATCTCATTCTTTTTTTTTTTTTTTTTTTTGAGACAGAGTCTCACTTTGTGTGCCTAGGCTAGAGTGAGTGCGCGTGCGTCAGCCTAGCTCCAGCAACCTCAAACCTCGGCTCAAGTAATCCTTCTGCCTCAGCCTCCCGAGTAGCTGGGACTGACAGGCAGTTGCCACCATGCCGCTAATATTTTCTATATATTAGTTGGCCAATTAGTTTCTTTCTATTATAGTAGAGACGGGGTCTCGCTCTTGCTCAGGCTGGTTTCGAACTCCGACCTCGAGCAACGTCCGCCCCTCGGCCTCCCAGAGAGCTAGGATTACAGGTGTGAGCCACCGCGCCCGGCCAAAAATCTCATTCTTAAACCCATGGGTACTATGTCTATTTCTACTTTATTTGAGCAGGTGAATTGGGAGGGAATAGCGTTTAACACTTGTTAAATTCTATAGACTACATATTAAAAATAAATAAATATTGTAATTTAGTTCTATTTTATTTGCGGTTTGAAGGTAATATTGCTGACCGTTGTATTACTTGTATATTAATGAAACTTTAAAAATAATGAACTTGCAATCTCATCAGCTTTTATCAGTAGCATACTTTCCTTTCTCCCATACAACAGCTTTGCTAACTCCTGAAGGGCAGAAAAATGTTTTTCTTAATCACTAAATCTCTAATAAATCACAAGCAAAATAACAGTGGTTCACTGAGCACTTCCTTTGTACCAGGTGCTTTACACACATTATTTTCTCTCTCTTTTTTTGAGACACACTCTCACTCTGTTGCTCTGGCTAGAGTGCCATGGCGTCAGCCTAGCTCACAGCAACCTCAAACTCCTGGGCTCAAGCAATCCTTCTGCCTCAGCCTCCTGAGTAGCTGGGACTACAGGCATGTGCCACCATGCCCGGCTAATTTTTTCTATATATTTTTAGTTGGCCAATTAATTTGTTTCTATTTTTAGTAAAGATGGGGTCTCCGCTCTTTCTCCGTCTGGTTTTGAACTCCTGACCTTGAAAAGAGAGCAATCCTCCCACCTCAGCCTCCCAGAGTGTTAGGATTACAGGGGTGAGCCACCATGCCCGGCCCTATTTTCTCTTTTTAACAAATCCCTTTTTATTTACAGATGAAGAATCTGATGCTGAGAGAATTTTAGCTATTATTTCCAAGGTCACATAACTAATAAGTGGCAGGGCCTGGATTCCAAGCCTGGCTTCTGTTACCCTATCCAGCACTCTTTAATTATAACAGAGCTCTAAAGTGTAACTGAGCACATTGCTCAGCAGAGGCTGTTTTTCAGCCTGTCTGGCAGCTAAGGATGAGCATGTGACTAGGAAGGATATAAAATATGTATTATGGAAATGGATGTTCTTTATGAACCTCTCCCTGCCAACCTCACCTTTGCGTTGTGAAATGTTGTTGATCACATGCCTGTCGCTTTAGCAGATATCGTGTCCCATCAGATGACCTTAAGGATCGATGGCAAGTCTAGAGATGAAAGAGCACATCCTGCCATTCCCTAAGGGCATCGTGGAGATGCCGCGTGCCAATTCTGGTCGGCCTACTTCTGGACTTCTTTTACATGAATGAGAAATAAACTTCCACCTCTTTGAAGCCAGTTAAATTTACTCCTAACTGTTAGACATGGTGTATCATGCTCAGTATCTTTTTATGGAATTAAATTTTGTTCCTCCTACCTGACACCCTTTTGTACCTCTTCTTTAATCTCCTTCCTTTAAATGTAGCTTAAATTCCAACTTGTCTATAAAGCTTTCCCTGACGCCATTTTCTCTATGGTGAATTTCAAATAAGTTACCAGGCTTCATAATTATCTCTCTTTCAAAAAGCTTTTTGGCCAAGCACAGTGACTCAGACCTGTAGTCTCAGCACTTTGGGAGGCTGAGGCAAGAGGATAACTTGAGCCCAAATGAGCTATGATCATGACACTGTACTCCAGCCTGGGCAACAGAATGAGATCTTGTCTCAAAAAAAAAAAAAAAAAACTTTTGTTGTGAAAAATTTCTTACTAAGGTGTTTCCCTTTTAGTCATAAAGGCTAATTTGAATTCACACAGGCTGGAGTCCCACCCTCACTCTTCCATATACATTTTTCTGCAGTATTGGGCTCAGATTCAGAAGGAGCTTTCTACAAATAGTTTTAAAATATTTTGGAAATTAGCTATTACTTTATAGTATATATGTGTGTGCAGAGAGTTTCTATTTGGGTTAATAGTAGAAAAAATGTTAGATTACATAAGACATTATGAAAGTTGGTCCTAGAAGGCCCAATTGATTGTGAGCCAGTTAGGTTTTAAATATGAGAACATTTTAGAAAATGATCGTGTTGGTGACTAAATACAGTAGGATGATATTATCAAGAGACCACAGGGATTAGAGTCAAAAGAATGACTCTGAAGTCCTAACTTGATCACTTTTCTTTCCTGGGCCTCACCTCCCCTCTGATAAGATGAGAAAGTTGAACTTGTCCATGCTTTATTTCATGGTTTGTGTTTGAATTTTGGACATTCCCAAGCAGAGAAAAACTTGAGGTTTTTTCCACTAATTCAACATTTATAAACCTGTGAGTCACTTGATCTCATTTGTAAAATGGAAGCTTCGGCCTAGCTAATTTCTATTGTTGTTTTCAGATCTTACATTCTATAGTTCCACCTAGTTTTGTATATGTTAATGTTATTTTATAATTAACTTTAAGAAAAGGTAACTAGCCTTTAATGCTGCTGTAGATAATGCTTGTGACCTATTTCCTTCCCCTTCTTCTCTCAGAGCCTTTTCAGACAGCACCAGCATCCCTTGCATAAGTCTAAAACTAAATTAGCCGTCAGGACCCAGGTGAGATGAGAAGGATCAGTAAAATATTTCTTCAATGCCACCTAAGACAGGAGCTGAGCTTGGGGCTGGAAAAACACTGATAAGCCTGTCAGACCCAGTCCTGTCTTCTGGGAGCAAAGACTCCTGAGGTTGTTCCCGTGTAGTTCCCCTCAATGTCAGGCTAAACTCACATTTTTTTTTTTTTTTTGCCCCAAATGTGTTCACAGGAACTCACATATTTTTAAAAGGATAAAATGCCTGTAGAATTCTTTCATGGAAAAAATTCAGAAGATAATGTAACTAACAGGAAGTATAGTAGATATTAACTATCACTTCAAAAAGTCTTTTTGTGCCAACCTGAGCAATATAGCAAGAAACAGTTTCTATACAAAAAAATTTTGTTAATTATCCAGGCATGGTGGCATGCACCTGTAGTCCCAGCTACTCAGGAGACTGAGGTGGGAGGATCGCTTGAGCCCAGGACTTAGAGGTTACAGTGAGCTATGATTGAGCCACTGCACTCCAGCCTGGACAACAGAATGAAAACCCATCTTTAAAAAAATAAATAAAGTCTTTTTTTCTACTTTATTAGGCCAAAGGTTCTCAAATGTTTGTGTGGAAAAGACTTTTAGATGCAGAATCCTGGGCCCCAGATCTACAGAGTCCGACTCAGCTGGTCTGAGGGGTCTTTGTTTTAGCAAGCACTCCCTGACATTCTATTGCCGATGCTCCATATTCCAAAACTTTGTTAGACACTGCTATGAACTGTTTTGTGCCACGTCTTTTTCTTATGGTGTTTGGTCAAATAACTTTAAATTTGATATGTACAAACTATATTTATAACTATATAATATCATTTAATTGCTCCCTTAAAATAGTGCCCTCTTAATTGAAGTACTCTGGGGTGGTATTCCCAGATCAGCCTCAGCTTGGAACCACCTGAAACAAATAACTCTCATCACTGCATAGTCTACAAACATTTTTTAAATTTTATTTTGAATAGATAACACATTTTTCCTGGTTTGAAAACAATATTAAAAGATATATATCAGAAATAATGCACCCACTTTGCCCTTTTGCCCAATAATTCTCTTAGTTTTTGTGCGTCCTTTGACAGTTCCTTTATGTTTGTCTTATACAAAGGCTAAGAATGGGTAAGAACTCTTCTGTGCCTTGTTTCTTTGAAATTAATATGTCTTGAAAATCTTTCCTTATCAGTGCATAGAGATCATTTTCTTGTTTTTAAGGGTGCCCAATATTCCATTGTATGGATGCGGCACAGTTTATTTAAACCAGTCCTCTATTTGAACACATTGGTTGTTCCTGTGTGGTTTTGCTCTTACAAATGATGCTGCAAGAAATAACCTTTTATTTAAACATTGACCCCAAAATTCTACTCCTAGTCATAATACCCAAGAGAATTGAAAACATGTCCACACATGTTTACACAAATGTTGACAGCAGCATTGCTCATAATAGTCAAAAAGTGGAAACAACACAAATGTCCAGCAACTGATGAATGGATAAAGAAAATCTGGTGTATCGCACAATGGAGTATATTATTATTATTACTTTTTTGGAGACAGAGCCCTCTGTTGCCTGGGCTACAGTGCCATGGTGTCAGCCTACCTCACACCAACCTCAAACTCCTGGGCTGAAGCAGTCCTCCTGCCTCAGCCTCCCGAGTAGCTGGGACTATAGGCACATGCCACTGCGCCTGGCTAATTTTATTTTTAGTAGAGACAGGGGGTCTCTCTCTTCCTCAGGCTGGTCTCAAACTCCTGACCTCAATCAATCCTCCCACCTCAGCCTATCAGAGTGCTGGGATTACAGGTGTGAGCCACAGCGCCTGGCCAGACAATGGAGTTTGATGCAGCCATGAAAAGAATGAAGTACTGACACATGCTACAAGATGGATGAGGCTTGAAAACATTATGTAAGTGAAATAAGCCAGAAACAAAAGGCCATATATTATATGATTTAATTTGTATGAATTATCTAGAATAGGCAAATTCACAGGGACAGGAAGTAAATTAGTGGTTGTTTGGGATT